AGTCCCATTTGGAAGTACTGGGGGTTAGGACTTCAACATATGAATTTCGAGGGGGACACAATTCATCCCATAACAAATCCCCTGGGGATGGAATTAAGGCACTTCTGACAAAATGACCCTCCACACTCTACTCCACAATGATGATGATCACTGAGGTTACAAAGGAGGCAGGTTACTGAGGCAGCCATTACTTTGCAGCCCAGTTATACAGATCCACTGGGAGGCAGCCAGGTAGGTGTGTGAGACAACACTGGTTCTCCAGGTACAACCCCTCAGGCCCCCAATCAGCTGTATGACTCAGGGATGTCAGTGGCCTACCTGTACAGTGAGGAGACTTCCTGCCCAGTTCAGCTTACCTCATGTGTCCTGTGCTATACTAGACACCTGCACTTATCTGTCCCAGGAGCACCAAAGCCCACCTTCTCCAACCCCCAAGCACTATCTTATCCCATATTCTCTATCCTGGGAATGACCATCATCAATTCAGTCATCCAACCCAAAACCCGGGAGTCTTCTCAGACACTTCTCCTAAGCTCTTCTCCCATAGCCCATCAATCTCCACTTGACACATTGTGTTGTCATTGCCTAATTACACTTATGTAAACCAGTAGTGTTGCCTACTGGTCTACACAACCCATGAGGTTTAGAGGCCATGTCTCCACTATTCCCATCATATCACCTGAGCCTAAGATAATACTTGATAAACGTATGAATTAATGAAGAAATGAATGTTGAAGGTGAGTGTTGCTCCAGAGAAAAAGTGTGAATTATGGGAGAAACAGGGTATCCCCAGTCTGCCCTTTCTGCACAGGCCCTCTGCCATCTCTCTGAGCCTCCCCTGTGTTTAGGGAAGACAGCCCTTTATGTTTGCAGATTGAGTTGAGGAGTGTTTACCAGGACTGAATTCCTGGCAATGTGCTACCTCAGTCAGTTTCTAGCAATTTACACCTCATGTGCAACTTACCGAAGGGGATATACCAGGCATGAGTGCGCGCGCGCGCGCGCACACACACACACACACACACACACACACACACACACACACACACACACACACATAGAGGGCTCCTTGCTTCCCTGGGGTGGATCACCTCCCCACCGCCTTTTCTACTGAAGAGCTACTAGAGGCAACAGAGCATGTGTCAGGGCTCCGTGGAATCAAAGCATCTGAGCTCTGGAAATGTGGCTTTAGAAAACAAGGCTTTCCTTGTTAAGGAGACCACTTCATGGACGTTGTGGAGGCCTGACCACTGCATTGTACACCTGAAGCTGATGTTGAATAATATTGTATGTAAACTATTATTTAATATATAAATAGTCACAGGATGTGGAGTATAGTGTGGGGAGTGGAGTCAATGGAATTGTAATAAATATGTATGACGTCAGGCAGGAGGAGTGGGGTGGTGGATTGGGGGAGGGGGGTTGTCACTTTGTGAGGGGTAAAAAGTATAACTATTACATTGTTTTGTACACCTGAAACTAATTTTTTTAAAAAGGGGTGGAAAAAAAGAAAAATACTTAGACATTAGAATAGTAGTTGGTAAATAAAATAATAAATATTGACTTCCAATTAAAAAAAAGGAAAAGGAAACAAGGCTTTCAAGGTTTCAACAGTTACAGAGGAACCAGGGTTCAAAGTCATAAGACATTCATGTTGCCTGACGTGTGATTTGACCAGCTTACCACATGGTTGGGGTCCCTGAGCTTGGCTGCCCACACATGTTGGGTGACCTTCTCATTCTTTATGCCCATCTGTCCCATACGCACTTACATGATGACGTGGAAAAGAAAACTGTAGTGAAAGTTGGACAGTGGTTAACTTGTGGTGTGCGGTGATGTCAAGGAATCAGTGATTCTTAGTAGAAACATCCTTTCTGGAGAAAACCAAAAGCACATAGGAGCATTTGTGTATCTACGAACTTAATGTCAAGTGATTAAAATCCTTAGAAGTCATCACTAGACCCTCTATCTGATGGTAGAATCCCCAACACTTCTGTGGGTGGGGCACAACTTTGTCCACCCCCAAGGACTGGGACTTGGGGACCTCATTACAGAGCCCTGATTTACAGGGCTGTCCTGGGCCCTTAAACAGTCCCCTGAACTGAGCTCCCACGTGGAGAATGAGAAAGCCCTTTGAGGGTGCCACCCTGGTGCTTCTATTTTGATAGAGGGTTATTTTGATAAGACCTGAAAAATAACCCATGACAGTTAAAAAATTGTTTAACCAACGACTGTTTAAAGCAGACCCCTCTTACTCCTTCTTCCAAGGCTTACCCTTGAAGTGGGGCTCTGAGGTGGTATGGGGGTTTAGAGCTGGGGAGAGGTCAGGGATGATGGGCTGAGACTCAGAGAAGAGTGCCTGGGGAAAAGGGTGTTAAAAAATAGGTGACATTATGGGTTGAATTTTGTCTTCCATAAAGATAAGATGAAGTCGTAACCCCCAGTACCTGTGAATATGACCTGAATTGGAAATAGGGTCTTTGTAGGTATAATGAATTTAAGATGAGGTCTTTAGGGTGTGCCTACTCCAAGATGGCTGGTGTCCTTATTAAGAAAGAAAGAGAGAGAGAGAGAGAGAGAGAGAGAGAGAGAGAGAGAAAGAAAGAAAGAAAGAAAGAGAAAGAAAGAAAGAAAGAAAGAAAGAAAGAAAGAAAGAAAGAAAGAAAGAAAGAAAGAAAGAAAGAAAGAAAGAAAGAAAGAGAAAGAAAGAAAGAAAGAGAGAAAGGAAAGGAAAGTCATGTGAAGACACACACACACACAGGAAGAACATCATGTGAAGATGAAGGCAGGGATCCGGGTGATGCTTCTACAAGCCAAGGAACACCAAAGATGGCCAGCCAACCGCCAGAAGCTGGGGAGAGGCCTGGGGCAGATTCTCCCTCAGAGCCTCAGAAGGAACCAGCCCTGCCAACACCTTGATTTTGGACTTTTTAGCCTCCAAAACCGTGGGAGAATAAGTTTTTGTTGTTTTAAGCCACACAGTTTATAGTACTTTGTTACAACAGTCCTTGCAAACTAAAACCACAGGCAAGCGAGTCAGACGCTGGTGAGTACATCCAAGGAGGACCAGTGGTTCTCAAACCTGAGCATGCCACAGGCTTACCCAGAGGGCTTATTCAGAGTGCTGGGCCCCGCCCCCAGGGTGGGTGGTTCAACAGGCCTAGAGTGTCACTCAAGGATGTGCATTTCTTACATGGCCCCAGGTGGTGCTGCTGCTGCTCGTCTGGGGACCACACTTTGAGAAACCACTACTCTAGAAGACAGGGTGTGGCCTGGGCATTGGAAACTTCTAGCCCCAGTAATAAAGAGATGTATATGCTCACTGATATGAGTTGTGCCAGCCCACCTGGAAAACTTGAGTGACACACTTTTCATTTAAATGACTTCTTCAGCTTTAAATGATTTATGCATGTATTGTTCCATGGACTCCCACAATAACCCCACCTGGTAGATATTACAGCCCCTGTTTTAGAGACAAGGAAAATGAGGTTCAGGTGGGGGTGTAAATCCTCAGTAGTACTCTTCTCCTAACTCCCTGAGCCCCGGACTCCATGCTCAGAGCCTGGCCTTCGAGCATCACTGACTAGTTCATCCCTCAGAACTCAGATTCCCCTCAGCTTCGTAAATCACACCCATCATCACCCTGTGGGAAAAGAAAGCCATCCACATCCACCTGCAGCCAAAGCTGCAAACCAAAGGTGCGTCTCAGCTCCGCTCTCTCTCCCACCCATGGTTGCCACTTTCTGCAGGATATCATGATCTGGGTCCTCTTTCCTGATCCTGTTTTGTCCCAAATGCCCTCCTGATGTAACTTTCTCCTTCCTGCTTTCACATGCTCGTAGTGAACGGCCCCAAGCAGCTTTGGAGCTGAGGAACCTGGAGTACAGGTGGATGGATTATGAGAAATGCTTCAAAGAGTGGTCAAGAAGGATTTACGATGCCCGAAGTCAAACAGGTCTTGGCAGCTCAGCTGGCCTGGCTCCTCTGCAAGGAGGGGCCTCCTAGTTACGAGGGCAGCTCTTATGGTTGCCTCTTGTCACAGGCTAGGCTGGCGAGGCCCCTTCTTGCCACTTCCATTTCCTTTGACAAGTGCTGGGTTAGTGCAAACGGGGTGGGAGAATAAGCTCTAAACCTCAGCCAGGTGTGGACACAAACTGTTAGGCACTCATGAGAGTTATTCAGAGAAGCCAATGACATAGTGTGCAGAGCCGGGCCTTTCAGCTGAGGTTCCACATCTTGAATTTCAGATTCTCTGAGCCTTTGCTCTCCACCCCTGAAGGCCGGAAGCACCTCCACTGTGGGCACTGGCCATCGCAACCCCAGAGCTGGTCTTCAGTGCTGGCCACAGATGCCCACATCCATGTGTCTATAGGTAACCCTGGAGCTGAGTGTCCTCCTGGCTTGGGCCCCAGGGGGGCCATAGTCTCATGCCTAGAACTTTGACATGAGTCCCAGAGGTCTTTTCATGGCATGCAATGTATCAGACTGCATGAGAGGAATTATCCTCATTCACACCAACCAGTGAGAATGGACAGAGCACTAGCCCTCATGAGAACTGTAATGCAAGGGGCAGAGAGAAGGAGGCTCAGTGTAGGCATGTCTCAGAAACTTATAGTCTCGGTGCCACCAGAGACAATCCCCCTGGAGAGACCATAGTGTAAATCTCTACTAGGAAGAGAGTCAAGTGCCCAAAACCGAGTCAGAAATTGCAAGATGCATGAAGCAGATCATCAGGAACAAAAGGGAGTCACGGTGGGGCAGGGACTGGGGACAACTTCACAGAAGACCCCATCTGAAGCTTGAGTGTCAGGTGGACAGAGAGAAGGGCAAGGAGCTGTCCAGGGGCCGGAAAGGCAACAAGCAGCGGTGGGGGAGAGGGGCTGGGATTTCTGCAGCCAAGACAGACATCGCATCGGCCCTGGTGCTCCCTGCACTTTGGCAGGGAGATGCGTGTTTTATTTTACAAAATGCAAAATCTCCCAAGTCAAAATGTTCAGTACATTGCTTTAAACTCAAGGAGGTGCAACAAAAGGTTTGTTTTGATCTAATGCAAACACACCTAAGTGGATAAGGACTTTCTGACATGCACAAAACAAGTGAAAAACCTGTGCCTGCTTTTCTGCCTTTTCCTCTTTCTCCTACTTTGTTCCCAATTACACAAGTAATACAGGAATGCTTTCTCATTGCACATGAGTCAAGCCTTTCAAACAAAAGTTAACACAAAGTCCCTTCACGCCCACCCATCCCTCCCACTCCCCAACCCCGGAGGTATCCAGGTCAATAACTTGGTGTGCATCCTCCCCGTGTTTTCTTACTTTTCAGGGAAACCTCGTCATTTTTGTAAATGCTAACTCTAAGCTTTCACCAATTTTGGCTTGGAAGGCGGCGTATTTTTGCTCTTTATCAATTTTGCCTCCCCAAATTTGAAACATAGTCTAAACTATTGACCAGGTACTCAGCCAACGATTCTGTTGGTGGTGTTTGTCTTTGCTGTGAAAATACTCTTTTCCCAGAAGAAACAGCACAGACCGCTTCACCTTCAAAGGCCAAGGAGTGTCATTGTTATTTAGTACAATACATTACAGGTGAATTCATCATGAAGCTAATAAAGTTCAAGCTTTAGGGCTCCTCACTTACTCCCCGAGACTCAGTGTCTACTTTTGTATTTATTATTTTGTGTTCTTTATCTCAAAGAACCCTCCTTCCCCCCAAAAGTGTATAAGCTTCTGGCCCCAACCCTGGATACAGTTTTAAAGCCAAAGGACCCATTAGACTTTATTTTCCTCTAAAGGCATGGAGCCTGCAATCTGGCTGATACTTTGTGTTTCTGAGGAAGCTCTTCCCAGGGAAGAGGGGGAGGAGGACTCTGAAGCTCTGAGTTTTAAAAGGCCAAGGAGCCATGTCCTGTAATTTGTGGATGCAAAGAAGTAAATGATGGGGTCAGTGCCGCAGTTCATGTTCATGAGGCACACGGTGAGCTGAAGGGACACACTGAAAGCCCTCTGCTCAGAGCAGGATGGCTGGGAGAGCAACTGTCTCACCATGAACTGGATGATGTTGAGGTGGTAGGGGCTGAAGCACACAAGCACAGCCACCAGCACCATCAGAGTGAGTAGGCAGGCCCTCCAGTGGTGCCCTTTCTTGCTTGTCAGAGGGTTGTCCCGGGCCATCCTGCACAGCTTCATGGTGATCTTCACGTAACAAAATAGCATGATCCCCACTGGCCCACAGAAGTTTATAACGCAGGCCACTAGGACAATGAGGGGCATCCTGAAGACCCCCTTGACGCTGACGAACTCCATGCAGGTAATCTTGCCTGCCACAGGCTTGGTCATGGAGATCAAGAGCAGCGGCATTGTCTGCAGCACCGCCAGGGCCCAGACAGCCACACAGACGAGCCTTGCTCGGCTGGCTCTGCGGAGCTGGGGACACTGGTGGATGTGGACCACAGCCAGGTAACGGTCCACGCTCACGCATGTCATGAGGTACATGCCCCCATAGGTGTTCACGTAGAAAGTGAACGCCGTCAGCCTGCAGAGTCCCTCACCAAAAGGCCAGCTAAAGTCCAGCATGTAATAGATTATCTTTCCAGGTAGGACCAGTGTGAACAGGAGGTCAGACACTGCCAGGTGGACCAAGTAGACACCTGTTGAGTTGATCTTCTTGCCCTTTCGACAGGCAAGGAAAAGGGCAAGGATGTTTCCCAGGGCACTGAAGACCAAGAGGACTGTGTAGAACAGAGAGAGCATCACGCTGGCCGCCCGGGGTGGGTGGTGAGGAGGGCAGAGGCTGGCATTGTGGGCGATGCTGCTTGGGTCAGCTGTGCTGGAAGCCATGTCATAGAGATCCCTGGGAAGACAAAACATATAAAATGTAACATTGAACCTCTGGGGTCACACCTCTTCATAGCGATAATTAATAATTTGCTGAGCCAACATGCACATGAAAACACATATCTCTTTTTAAGTAAACTTTTTGTTGGAAATGTAACATACTGTTCCAGTTACTATTGCTGTGTAACAAATTGCCCCCCAAAGGTAGCAGCTTCAAACCTACTTGATTATGCTCATGGTCAGGTTTTGAGCAGGACACAGTGGGAATTATTTTTCTCTGCCCCCCAATGTCGGGAGCCTCAGCTGGGAAGAGCCAGCAGTGAGGGGTGACTCAATGGCAGAGGCTGGGACCACCTGGAGGTGACTTCACTCACATGTGTGGCAACTAATGCTGGCTTTTGTCTGGAGCCTCAGCTGGGGCTGTCAACTAAAGCGCCTGCACATGGGCCCCTCATGAGACGGGGGCTTCCTCACAGCATAGCAGACTGAAGGTAATTAGATTTCTTACACAGCACCCTGAGGCTCCAAAAGAAAGTGTACCCAGTAACTGGGTAGGTGCTCCATGTATAATATTAACCATGTCTTTTATTTTCTGTATTCTGACACGTTGACACCTTGGGGCCTTGCTGACTCTGGAGGGACTGCCCCTCCCTGGGGTTAGCCAATTCCTCGAACATGCTTTTCAAATGCAAACCAACCAATCCAGAGCCACACCCCAACCACCTGCTTTATTGGGCTTTCACACTCTGGGCCACTAGCTCCCTGCCCTAATGGCCCCACCCAGGTACCAGACAACCCAGGCAGCTGCTATATTCCAGAGCCCCTGAAATTATTCAAATTAGCCAATCCTAAACCTGTTTACCCTGTCTTGCCTGTTTCTTTCCACAGAAACCACATTAAAGGCTCTCGCTGTCATTTCCGCCCCTCTCCTCCTGTCTCCTGACTGACCTGGTGCTTCCTGTGCGGCCCCCTGTGATGTGGTATGCCCCTTCTTCTTGGGATCTCCGTGTAACGATCTATCTTTTTCCATGGCAATCGTCTCCTGATCTGTTGGCCTTACTGAACCTCAGGTTTTCTATTAATGCACCTTCTCTAACCTAGCTTCGGAAGTTTCGTGTCATCACTCCCACCACCCTCGATCGGGTAAGAGCGAGTCACAAGCCCACCCAGCATCAAGAGAAGAGGGCGTAGCCCCCACCTCTCAATAGGAGGAATGTCGAAAAATTTGTAACCATTTTAAAACCATAACCCATACACGCCAAAATGTGCGCACATCGTAAAGGTGTACAGCCTGACGGTTTTCAAAGCGCGAACACATCCATGTGATTAGCACCCAGATTAGGCAGCTCACCTCACCAGATGCTCTCCTTTGCACCCTCCTATCCTCTCCCTCCACTCAGTGGTACCCACTATCCTAACTTCCGGAACCACAACTTAGATTCAGACCTCAGTCCTTCACAAAGCCCTTGATGCTGACTCTCTGAGCCCAGAGATTTCGATCTGCTCAGAGACTTCGGATAAGCAGCCCCATGGCCACCTGCCTGCCCTGGGAGAGACAGCTCGCCTGGGGAAGTGGCTGTCCCTTCCCACAGCAGGAAGCGGCCCCTCTCCCTTCCATCCTGCCCCGCAGTGCTCCCTGGGTTTCTCCCTAGTTCTCTCTTTCTCTCTCTTATACTCTCACACACATACTCACACACTCTCTCACACACGCACACCCCTGTGGAGGTGCGACCTGGCACCCTAGGAGGGGGCAGGATGATGCTGTGGCCCTGGGAACTGAAGCCCCCCACCCCACTGAAATTGCTGCCCTCTGGAGTGAGCTCTTCCGAGGAAGAAACACAAGTGCCGATGCACTCTAGGAGCCTTGCCAGGTCCCATTCAAGAGGGCGGACTCTTCTCTGTCCCTTCCTTCCCTGAGTAATTTGGTCCTCAGGCCGCTCTGAGCTTCAGTGGCCACCAAATGAGGTGGAGGACTGTGGGGAGGGGATTCTGTGCTGGAGTCAGAATGAGGACACGGCAGGGAGAGCTGTCTCAAGGGCCACCTTTAGCTCAGGAGAGTCCCAGCTACAGGTCAGCTCACCTTCTAGAATCAACTGTTCCAGTCACAGAGCAGCTATTTGACGCCTGTTTGAAAGTTGTGTATCCCTTTCTCTGTTTGCTCAGGACTCATGGGGCACAGGGAAGGAATTGGCTCCTGAAGAGACCTCAACCCTTGGCAATTGTCCGCCCTTCCTGACACTCCTGGCCTCTTCCCCAGGACACATCCCCTGGCAGCCTTGCTCTGCCAGGCCTTCAGGACCTCAGGCCTTGGGGCTCACCCCGAAGCCCACCTGCTTCCTCAGCCGAGTGCCTGTGCCCTTCCCTTCACCACCCAGCATACCACACAACCCCTCTAGCCCTGCTGAGTGCCACCTCCTCTCTGAAACCTCGCGGTCTCCGCAGAATTCAGGGCCACTCCGCCCTCAGTGCTTGTGTAGCACTTGATGGCAGTTCTCTGGTGCTTTCTCACAGTGACACACACCTCAGTGAACCTCTGCAGTTTCAGCACCTGAGCCCTGTGGCCTGCCCTAGTCCTTTTTTTTTTGCTATTTGGCACAGAAGAAATGCTCTGAACCTTGGGTCCTGTTGGAAGCCCCATGGTCCCCCTTCCTAGGGACACCCACAGAGAAGTCACATCCACACCCAGAGGAAGGGTGGGCAGGTGCTGTCACAACTGTGAGTCAAGACAGAGTAGATCCAAATTAGGAGCTCTTGAAAGATGGGCACACCCTCAGGCCCTAATGCCTCATAACGGCACTGCTTCCAGAAGTTTCTAAAGGTTGCCCTTAGTTTCTGACCCAGTAAAGCCAGCCTGGGCCTCTCAACAGGTTTTCCTCAGTGACTTGAGGCTGATGCTGGCCTTCGATCTTTCTCACCTGGCCTTTCCTTATGCTCAGACCGGGTCCTGGGCTGGTGAGCTGGAGTCAGAGATGTTCTACCTGCTGACGACAGAAGCAGAAAGAGAGGGTGTGTAAAGAGGGGCTACAATCTGAGCCTTTCTCTTGGAGCCCCTGCACTTTTCTCATGCCCTGAGAAGAGTCACATATGGTCGACTTACCTTGCTCACCAAGGGCAATGCAGAGAGCCCAGCAGAGCCTTGTCCAGTGGCCGGCTGCCTTCTTGGGTGGTCCCAGAGCATCAAAGATGCCCC